GAAGCAACAAAGCCCACATGTAAGAAGTATAGGTGTCTGTGTGATCACGAGGTGTCAACAAGATCAGGTATCAGGCATCAGAAGACCCAAAACAATATTGATGTGAGCAAAGGCAGTCAGAGTAGAGAACCAAAGCCCAGCACAATTGAACATACCCTCGCAGAAGGGTCACAAGGAAGGGACGAGCCAGCCAGCAAGCAGTATAGCCCTCACAAAACATACAACATTCCTCTAGTTCTTCAATGCTTCCTCCCCCCCACTATCCTGACCCCAGTTCTACCTTACAAATCCTGTTAGACCAGAGCATGTACACTAGTGCAAATAAGAGCTCTCGACACACAGAATCCAGGACCTAAAATAATAATTTATAATTTATCAAGGTTGGGAGGGTGAGAGAAAGAGGGGAAAGAGAGGAGCTGATACCAAGAGCTCAAAGAGAAAGTAAATGTTTAAAGAATGATGCTGGCCACATATGTACAAATATGCTTGATACAATTGATGTATGGATTGTTACAAGAGCTGTAAAGAACCCCAATAAAATGATCTCCACTCCCCACCAAAAAAACAATGGGGAATTGAAGAACTAAAGAATATATATTTTTAAATGCTTTAAACAAATGAGAACAAAAATACATCATACCAAAATATCTTGGGTATGGCAAAAGCAGTACTTAGAGGGCAGTTTATAGCAGCAAGTGCACATGTCATAAAGGAAAAAAATTAAACATCTTAACACATCAACCACAACAATTAGAACAGGACCCGCAAAACAAAGCCTCAGACACTAGAGAAAAAAAAAAGAAAGAGTAGAGCAGAAATAAATGAAGCATAAACTTTTAAAACAATAGAAAAAATCCACCAGACTAGATAAACCACTGGCAAACCTAACAAAAGAAAATAATAAAAAGCACCCTGCACTCCCCCGCTTATCCACCAGACTAGATAAACCACTGGCAAACCTAACAAAAGAAAATAATAAAAAGCATATATTACAAATGAGAAATGAAATAGTAGACATCGCAACAGAACCAACTGAAATAAAAAGATGATCACACACTGTTGCAGCACTGTGTCAATCCATTTCCTTGAGAGTCTTCCTCATTTTGCTGACCCAACACTTTATCAAGCAGAATGTCTTTTTCCAGGAACTAGTCCCTTCAGATAAGATATCAAAAGTATCCTAGCTTCAAAGGAGTATTTTGGCTGTACCTCATCCAAAACAGATTTGCTCAGTTCTCTGGCAGTCCGTGGTACTCTGAATATTCTTCTCCAATACCATAATTCACATTCTGTGGTCTTTCCTATTGATTTTCCAGTCTTTGCTTGCATTTAAGGTTACTGAAAACATCATGGGTTGGGTTAAGAACACCTCTGTTCTCACAGTGGCATCTTTGCCCTTTTACACATTAAAATGGATTTTTTGAAACAGATTTGCCCAAAGTAATAAGTCATTTGATTTCTTGGCTGCTGCTTTCATGAGCATTGACTATAGATCCAAGTAAAATGAGATTCTTGATGTCAATCTTTTCTTAAACAGTATTAATATTAATTTTACTGAAAAATAAATTATTCATAAGTATTTAATAAAATTATTCATAAATAACTTATCAATTTAATTTATAAATGTACTAATAAATGATTTTTCATTGATATTAACTCTTGCCAAGTGATCATTCTTGCTTTGGTTTCCTTTAAAGTAGAATGTTTTAAAATATGTGTTAATTATCTGTATTTCTTTATATACAGTCTAGATAGGCTTTCTGTTAGTTTTTTATTTCATATTCAACAAGGACCGCTCTTGTTGATTATTAAAAACTCTTTATATAGTCATTTTATTGAGTTTTTTTTCTGCCATTGGGTTAGGCATTGGGATGCTAACTAAAAGGTCAGTAGTTCAATTCCACTAACCGTGTCACAAAAGATGAAGCAATTGGGTTCTGTACAGATTTACAGAGTGGGAAATACTATGGGGCAGTTCTACTTTCTCCTGTTGGGTCACCATGAGTCAGAATTGAACTCAACAACAATGTGTTTGTCTGCATATTTTAAAAAGTATTTTTACTTAATAATACAGTTGTACTTTAATTATAATCAAAATTTTTATATAGTAAAAAAGTATTTTTCTTCCATTAGTTTTATATTTTAAAAGACCTCCCACCTGAAATACAATAAAGATCAATCTTCACTCATATTCCTGGATCACATTCAACCTTATTTCTTCAGGAAAACATTCTCTAATTTGGCCAAATCTCCAAACGACTCATTTTTATAATAATACATACCCATATGTGCCTATGCTCTCTGCATGTGTGTATGTGTATTAATAAGCTTTACAAGGGCAGGAACCAGGTCTATATGTTGTTCACCATTGTATTCTAGAACTTGGTACATACTTATTTTCTAATGTTTTGTGTTTTCAATAGTTAGATTTAATACTTCAATCAACACTGGAATTTATTTTATAATAGACTATGAAGAAAATTTCTACTTTTATTTTTGTTCCCAAATCCCCCTGCTATGATGCAAACTTTTTCATATTTGTAAGTGTTTGTAATACATACGCATTTTATTGTATCACATTGTTCTACTTAGAGATTTTGTCAACATGACATTGTTTGGACTACTATGGAGTTACATTATGTTTTAATATCTAGCATTAGCTAAAATATCTTGATTAAGCCTGCCAGCAATAAGACAATTAATTTTTAAAATAGATCATTCAATAAAAAACATAGAAAACACTACTATTTCTCCTTGCTCTCTCCGTTTTTAACATCATCGTCCGGCTTTGGCAGCACATGAGAACACTGACCTGAGCAGCCCCGCTCGATGGAAGACATAGAGGTCCTGAGGAAGGGAGCAGTTACTGAAGGGGATCATTCTCACAAAGTTCTGGATAAGGACAAACTCAGGGGTGAGATGAGGCAGCGAAATTATGCAAAAGTTCTTATCCTGGAATTATTATAAACAGAGACACATAGAGAAAGAATTAAAAGTCAGTTTTCAGATAAGCATTACACGCAAATTCTTGCTATAAAACACTAAGGAAGTTAGGGAAAATATGTTGATTAAGGAAAGGATATTCAAATTAAATTTTCTGTAAATTGGAGATTAACCACATGAAATTTGAAGGAATAAGAAACTGCAAATATATACAAAAATATTTGTATGTTTGTCTGAAACCTGAATAAATGATTCTTATGAACAACAGAACCCATTCATCATAGCTCTTTTGCTTAAGTGGTTTTTTTTAATTTAAGGATGTCGTATGAATCCCTGAGTAAATGAGGCAGCGTAGCATCCTACCACAACCCTTTGTTTACTAAATGAGGCAGTGTAGCATCCTACCACAAACCCTTTGTTTACTATGTGATCTTAAACTAGCCCAATCCCTCCCTTAAGAGGTGAGAGGATAGCATAGCAAGTCCTTTCTGGTTTTAAAATCCTGTGACTGCACAGAAAGGGATATCTGTGGGCTTTATCATAATGTGACGATCCCATTGGGGAGAACAGACCCAAGGGAGGATGGAAACCCCAGCAGAAGGTTTAGTTAGCAGAGGATCCCACATTCTCAACACTACTTCTAGTCCTTGTGTTGGCCAATATGGTAGCCACTCATCACACGTGGTTACTGCAACTGGGGAAATAAACTTCTAATTCTATTTAATCTTAACCCAAAATCTACTGCCGTGGAGTTGATTCATACTTACAGCAATCTTATGTAGGATTTCTGACATTGTAAACCTTAACAGAAGCAGACAGCTTCATCTTTCTCCTGAGGAGTGGCTGGTGGGTTTGAACTGCTGACTGTGTGGTGAGCAGCCAAATGGCTGAACCCACAGTGCCACTAGGGCTCATTTCATTGTATCTTAGTTAATTTAAATTTATAGTTCAATTTACTTAGTTTAGTTATTGGAAAAGTTTTACGTATATTTGGAACAACTTGGGAATATGAATCTATCAATTGACAATTTTATGAAATCTAAATATAGATCAACTTTTTCTGATGAAAACTTAGCACTTGAGTTTAAAGATACTGTAAATGAAAAATGCACAGTGAATGTAAAAGACTGAGTATGAATAAAGAAGGTACACTGGATCATTAATCACTTCTCATATTGATTACATATTGAAACAACTATTTGTGATACTTGGGTTAAATAAAAGGAGCAGTTCCACTCTGCCCTATAAAATGGGAAATGTGCTGGATGGCAGTGATTTGGGGTTTGGGTTTTAAATAGAGTATTTTATTAAAATTGGCTTCACCAGCTTCTCTTTCCATGTGTAACTATGGCTGCTGGAATGTATGGAATCACTCCTGTGGTGGTGGCTGTTTCTAACGGACTAACAAACGGTGCTGTTCGAGGCTAGCTGTCAACCCAAGGCCTGTCTGATCTTCTGTCAGGTCCTTGCAGAAGCAGCCTGCTCTTCCAAGAGCTAATTTGTCCCCCTGGGACTTAGCCTCCTTATGAACCCTGTAAAGGTGTTACTTGTGCTAACCCAAAACTCCTGGGACATCTGTGGAACCCAAAGAAGAACACTCGGGAAAGAGGGAACTTTGGAGTCAAGTTGCTGAATGGCAAGCACTGGTGCCAAGACATAGCAAGCTCTCTCTGGGACGGGGGAGACTGATATAATGAGCTGCTTCCACTTGGATTTGAAGGATTAAGGACAAAGTAATGGAGGTATTTTGTTCCTGCCTCTCCCTATACTCTGAAATGAAAAGAAATGGAGCTGAAATATAGATAGATCTTTTACCTTTTTAAAATTAGCATTACTTTTGTAATGTTAAAGATTAGTGTTTACAAGGACTTCAAAATAGTAATGACATAGACTTAATGAAAGGTCTGTGGGGGCATCTTTCGAGAAAGCTGGCTTTGTATATCCGATATTCATGACATGCTCCATTGCTTTCTGAGCTTCAAAATGCCTTAAAATTAATTCAATAAAATCATGATGAGGAGCATTATTGCAAGGCTTAATTATTTTAACAAAATTAGAAAATATAGCCTGTGATCTCGTAGTTTTAGTCAATATAATCAAGCCATATTTATTTTTGCCTCAGTATAAAGGGAATAACATATAAAGAGAATAAAGTAAAAAGAACAAATTGTAATTAGTCAACTGAAGAAGTACAGTTGTTGATTTTACTTAGCTGATGGGCCCACTGTGGAAATGCAAGCTTTACAGAAACCCATTTTGTCCCTCTGTTGTTGCCTTGCCTACTTTCTTCCCTCTAATAAAGTAGTAAGAATATGGTTGGCATCTCTGTCCCAATGCAACTATGAAAAGAGGAAAAGGAGAAGGCAGTCACCCTGATAAGGGTCCCTTGCCTAGCACAGGTGCTTGCTCCAGCCTACTCATCAAACACTACTGTGCCCTCCTTCACATCAGGCTCCCAGGCTCCAGGAATTACAGGGAAAGAAAGACAACCATAGAAACAATTACATGTCCCAACCTCCCTGCCCTCAAAAAACAATACCCACTGCCAAGGAGGCTATTTCAATTCACAGACACCATATATGAGAGGTACAAACAAACAAACAAACCCAGAGTTGTGCTGGGCAGAGCAGAGCTGTCACAATACGCATTTTTCCCACTGGGTGCACTTTGAGCAGGCTGCTCTGAGTTAGTGCACCCAGTAACGTCACCTGGGAAAGTTCTCTCTGGTCTCAGTCAATTTTTTCATGAAATTAGTTTCACTCGAACCTCATTTTTCTGATGACCAATTTAAAAGAGCAGTGCGCAGCTATGAAATTTTGTTTCCTGCTCAAGAAAAAGGCCGCAGAAAATGTTGTGATGTTGAGCATAGCATACAAGGACAGCACTATGGGAAAAACTCAACTGTTTTCTCAGTTTTAAAAAAAGGTGAATTGTTGATTGATGACAAACCTCATTCTGGATGTCTGTCAACTTCCCAAATGGACAAAAACGTCGACTCACAGTGCATTTGGAGTTCATTCCACCAGGTCAGACTGTTAATCAAGCTTTCTATTTAGAGGTTCTGAAAAGATTGTGTAATAGTGTGTGACCAAAAAAAAAAGACCTGATTTGTGGCAGATGAGGGACTGGTTTTGTCAACATGAAAATGCATCTGTCACGCAGCCATCTCAGTGCATCCATTTTTGGCAAAAACGGCATGCCTCTCTTGCCCCACACACCTTACTTACCTGACCTCACACCTTGCCACATCTTTTTGTTTATGAGAATGAAGAGGGACATGAAAGCTAATTGATAACACAGAAGAAGTAAAGAAAACAAAAACAAAGGAGGTGCTCTCAACCATCCAAACAGATAAGTATGAAAAATGTTTCCAAGAATGCAATCGCAGATTTGACAAATGTATTAAGTGTAAAGGAGAGTACTTTGAGGGTGATAAGGTTGTTTTGGGGAAAAAGATTAAATACATGGCTTTGAAAAAAGAATTCCCTTTGAAGGGGGCGGGTACCCCCTTGTAGGTTGTCTCCCAAGGAGTGGCTGGTGTGTGAGCAGCCTCATCAGCACTCTTCACAAAAGCAATAGGGTGGGTTTTAGAATACTTTAGGTCAATATAAGTTATAAAACAATACAACAGCCTAATCACCTTTAGTGTAAACTGCTGACATCCTTTTAAATATAATTTTATTCACTCGTAAAACTGCATAAGAGTTAAGCATAAAAGCACAGTGATTAGGTCTTCAACTGCTAACCAAAAAGTGTGTGGTTCAAATCCACCAGCCTCTGTTAGTAGGAGAAAATATAGCAAACTCCAAACTAAGCTCACTGCCATTGAGTCTATACTGACTGATGGGGACTCTTCCAGGACAAGGTAGAACTTCCAGGACAAGGTAGAGTTTCCAAGACTGTAAACTGTTAATGACAAAGCCCTGTCTTTCTCCAGAGGAGGGGATAGTGGTCTTGAACTGCTGATCACAGCCGAATACATTACCACTATGCTACCAGGACTCCTCCGGAAAAGCTTAGGACCTAGAAAATCCTAATGTGGAAGTCCCACCCAGTTGTACAGGGTTATTATGAGTCGGAATTGACTGGATGACCAGAAACAACAACGCTATATATATACGCATTTCTTTTAAATGCATGCATTGCAAAGAAGTTTTTAAAATAGCAAAACTGAAGGATTCCTGAGAATTATCCGAGGAGACATTGTGGCATAGCCCTTGTTGCACAATGGGCTGCTAACTGCAAGGTCAGCAGTTCAAAACCATCAGCTGCTCCTCAGGAGAAAGATGGAACTTCACACTTCCATAAAGAATTACAGGTTCGGAAAATCACATGGGCAATTCTGCTCTGTCCTGGAGGGTTGCTATGAATTGGCCTCAACTCAATGGCAGTGAGTTTTTTGCTTGTTTGTTTTAAACATGCTATATCTTGAGATATCCCCAGAGTACAGAAGCAGTTCAAATTGCAACAGGACAGCGTTGTAAATGTTTAGACAGTGAATGTGATATTTTACTGTGCTAAGCCTATCAGGCCATGGTAGTTTCAATTGCCTCGTTTGCATTGGAGAGCTGGGCAATGAATGAGGAAGACTAGAGAACAACTGATGGATCTGAATTACGGTGTGGTGGTGAAGAATACTGACAGCCCCATGGACGACTAGAAGAACAAACAAATCCCTTCGGAAAAAAGTACAATAGTGCAATTGGATTGCTCCTTTGAAGTGAAGTGAGGGTGATGAGAACGTGGACGTGTTATTAGGACGGACCAATCCCTGGAGAAGGGCTTCATGCTTGGCAAAATGGAGGGTCAGCAAAAAAGAGGAAGACCATTAACAAGATGGCTTAACACCTGGCTGGAACCAGGGGCTTGAACATAGAGGTGTTTACTTCTTGCAAAGACAGCATGGGATCTGACAATGTTTTGTTTTGTCGAAATAGATTGGGACTGACTAGATGATACCTAACAATAACAAATTTCTCCAATTAATAAACAAATTATAATATTCGAAATTCAAGGTGTACTTACAGGAAAAAGACTGAAAACAAAATTCATAAAGTCCAGTGACCTGTAAAATGATAGCAACATTGTTACTGATCTACTGTGGTACCCTATCTTTCAAGGTTCTTATCCCTCTTCCCCCCTTTGGTGGCTATTAGTCAACCACTAGCCAGAACTTGATATTATGAAGATCATAGCTTCATGTTGTGACAATAAAGTATGTTTATTACTAGCACAAAATTAGTGTAATTCATAATTTCTGCACATTCCATAGCTAATAAATAAGATGTTCATTTTGTTGACATGATTCATCCCTTCCTCTCTGAAAGAATTAGGGGAAATGTGGGCACAATATAGGCTAACCTTATATTTTCTTTTATATGCAAAGGGGGCGTCTATTCACAAGCAAACCTTAAAGGGACGCTGAAATTTTGTTTGAAAATTCAACAGTTACATTCTAAACCCAATCGTATTTTAAATGCACAGAGGAAAAGACATATAAAACGACAAATTTATAAGGGCTTCCCAGGCTTTTTACATGCCTGCAATGTAATTACAAAGAATTTTTTTTTAATTTCTTTCAACATCCAGAATCTCCAAAGGAGTCCAAAACTTAAGGAAAATAAAATACAAGTAATACATGGTTCTTGGCATAGAAAGTATGTTTGACTGCATTCTCTAAAAATTGTACTATTGATCAAACATGATTGCTAAATGATCGGTATCAGTAGTGATCTTGGGCAGCTAAAAGAGAATCAGTGTTTCAGTGCTCAGATACATGAAAATTTTAGCCTAGCACAGTGGGTCACTGTGTTAGTCTGGGTAAACTAGGGAAACAAACCCATAGAAACTCATATGTATAACAGAGAGTTTTATATAAACGTTAAGTGTACATTAAGAAAGCATGCCAACCCAGTGATG